TAAAGAGTCCAGGTTTTATAATCAAAAATCAAAGCTGTCTTGGTGAAAGCCATGCTTATAGTGACTGTAACTTAGGACTTAAGCCGTTTTAGCCCTAGAAAACTAGTGGCTTATTGTTTGATCACATTTATCAAGGGCAAAGTGCTGTTGAATTGTATTTTGGTAATGCTCTTCTTTGGGAATAATATGTGAAGGAATAAACTACTTTGTATACTAGATATCACTTTTAGAGTTGATATATTGTATAACTGTTGATGAAATAGAATGATGACAGCAAACAACTTCTTTGCCTAACAGACTTAAGGCAAATTCTTTGTATTGCATATTATATTTCATTTTACTAAACTCTCTCTTTCAAGAACACTCTTCATATTAAACAGGTATAAAATATGTCTTATTTAAATAATTCTTCCAACATAGAGCTTCACATGTTAATAGCTACAATGTTAATGTAGCAGGTTCTAAGTCACACTGTGTGAGTGGCTGGGGACATACCTCAGGTGGTAAAGCACCTAATGTGTTGGGTTCAGGGACCCAGCACAGAGCAGCATGTCAGGCAGAGCAGCATGAGCCTGGAAAGCCAGCGCTGTTGAGATGGGAGGAGTTCACAGAGACAGGAGATCCACGAGGCTCATTAGCCAGCCACCCTGGCCAAATCTATGGATCTGAGGTTCAGTGACAGACTTGTCTTAAAAAAATAAAGCAACCATACTAGTGAACTCTCAACTCCACACACATGTATAAGTGCATACACCCACACTAACAAATATAGATCACAAACATGACACATAACAGCATTCACACAAACACACATTCACACAAATTATTCATAAATTAAAATGTAAAAGACACAGTGTTGGCATTAAGCCCATCCCTTAAGGCCATATCTACTCCTTTTTACTACTATTGTGTTTCTGATATAGGCACTTCCCCTTTATTAAAATGAACAAATTAAGACCTAAACAACTGGAAAGCATTTCTAGTAGAAATGTAACAAACATATGCATATATAGATTAAAATTTTTCAAACAAATAGTAAATTGTTAGAGAAAGCAGGCACAGGCAGCCTGCCATTTCTTGTTTGCCCTAGACTGTGTGACTGAGATAAGTGAGCGATAAGAAGAAAGAAATGGGTTGCAGCATGAGTTCTAATTGTTCTTAATAATAAAACCAAGAGACAGATATTGGGGCTAAAGCTGAAGATCCGAGATACAAAGCAGCCAGCCACTGGAGAGTTCTTACCTCTACCAATGCTCAGATCAAAGGGGTGATCCTGTTCTCACATTGCATCTCCAGACTGCATCTGTCTCCACCAGACCTCAGACTGTCTGAGCTCCTGTATCCTCTCATCATATATTCCTCTCTAGTGCTGGGATTAAGAACATGTCACTCTAAGTACTGGGATCATCTTTGTGTGAGGTCTGAATCTCCTAGACAGATTCAATCTCCTGTAGCCCAGGGTAGCCTTCACCTCACAGAGATCCATCTGCTTCTGTGTCCTGAGTGCTGGGATTAAAAGTGTGTGCACCACCACTGCCTAGCCTTATGGCTAACTTGTGTGGCAACTGGGATTAAAGGTGTGTGCCACTACAGTCTGGGCTCTATGGCTAGCTTTGTACTCTGATCTTCAGGTAAGCTTTATTTGTTATACCATAAACAAAATATCACCACAGAGGGTCTCTCTTTTCTTGTCACATCTGCTTTGTGGCTCAGCAGAGCATTTGGGGTTCTCCCTGTGTCCAGGCTTCTCCATATTCAGATGAAACAGAGAATAGGGCCTATAATGCTAGAAACTATAACATGGGTATGTCCAGGATGAGAATCACAGTTTTGCCTTGTGGAAATTTGCTTCCCAACCACTGGTTCCCAATGAAATTGTCCATTGAAGGAACATAGAGCCAAAGGACAAGGGCATTTTTATCCTCTGACAATTCACTAAAAATAGTGTAGCCTCTCCTCTTCTAAACGCCCTCTGTAAGTGGGCTGTGTAAGTAGTTACACGTGACATTGATCTAGTTACTATTTCACTTGAAAGGTAGCATTAAACATCAAATGAGAAAGTGTTAGACAGTTCACGTATTTCTTGATGTACCAGAGAACAATAGTTAATGTGATGTCTATGGAATGCCCTGAGGTGATTGGTAGACTTTTAATCTTGTTTTATATTTTTAATGACATTTTATACACGGGCAAAGATTCACAGTACCAGATTGTATAGAGATTGCATAGCTTTATTTATATATCTTTGTACTCATACATACTACATCTTCTACCATATATGCAGTTATATCCATATGTATGCATATGCGTGCACACACACAGACACACACATACACATATATATGCATGTATAATTATATGTATGTGTATGTATCTCAGACAACTTCTACCCTTTTTTGTTTGTCAGTGTGTTGTACCATATGGTGTAGAGCATTGTGCCAAAAGATAAAAATATTTCCAGAACATATGAAATCATCAGTCATCCAAAGAAGGCTAATGACTTTTGACCAAGGCATTTGTAAATCTGATATCAATGTAGGCAACAATACATGCCTTTAACACCCACAATTCTAAGAAGAACAGATATTTTAAACTTAAAATGGCTATTGCTTTATAAGAGAGAGAATGCAAATGTGAAATCCTTATATTTTTCTAGAGAAGTGGACTAAGGTTAATATTTCTTTCCTAACCAGCATCTTCTGTAGAAAAATGTGGAACTTGCCTCTATTCTTTGGTCTCCAGAGTGACACACATTTCTTTCTAGTCACAGAAGCAGAGGCCTTACAGATGAAATCCACTGCAGGTGGCTGGATTCTGAGTGGTTAATGACATGGACACTGCAGGGGCAGGGTGTGCCAGCTAATAAATAGAGTTCAGAAACTCAGTGTACCACATGAAAATTCATGTCCTTTTGCAATCTGATCCCATGTACAATGACTACCATACATGATGAAATTTCAATTAAAAGGAGAGAAAGGTACAGAACATTTGATCTCAGATCATTCCTTTGGTCTGTCTTTTCCCATTTGTAAGGAACGAGAGATCAGAGATTATCTGTGCTTTGTCTTTCATTGCTTCTCAGAACTTCTCCATTTCAAATCTCAAATAGCTGTGTTTAATTGTGCTATACTGAATGTTCTGTTCTACTACTTGATTAAGCAAGAGTGAATGTATGTGAGATACGAAAGTAGTTAATTTTTTAGCAAAACATTGAAGATTTGGGATGGTGTCCCCCGAGCCTTCTTACCTTCTAGGGTATATCTTCCTAGTGTGTTCTCCATTGTATGATTGGATTATGGTGTGTTCAAATTCTATGGTTGTAGTTCATATTTAAGCAGTGGCTGCTTCATCTTGAGATTCATGATGGTCTAAAGAGTGTCTGAGCTATGGGGTCACTCCAGAAGCAACTTTCTTTTGATCACCAGAAATGTAGCACATAGCAGATTATTTGTCTCCAACTGTAATTAATAAAATTAAATTGATACGTAAAAATCCCTTTAATTAGATTGTATTAAGAAGACATGTATAAGCTCTGTTCCATCTATATATAGCGCATATAAATAAACTCTATATAGTATATAAATGTGCCCTCTATAATTATATAATATATATCAGTATGTTCACATGGTTAGTTTATCTCCTTTAGATGTTGCAGTGACCAGTCCTGTCATTGTCATCAGTCTGCTTCAATGGGAGTGATCGAGTCAATTGTTTTGAAACTCTGTATTTGGTTTCTGTTCTTTCTTAAAGAGAAAAACTCAACAGACACATGTAGTCAAATAGAACCTGAAGCCAGTGTCTGTTTAGAGGTCATCAAAACTATTATTTTCTTACCAAAAGCATGTGATGAAATAGTTTATAGAACTACATTCAAATCTATAGGGTGTTCTAAGTCATGTTGTAAATTTATAGTGTTGCTTATGCCATCTGATCCTGAAAGAACAAATAAAGTTGTTCTTTATTTGTCAGATGCACCAAAGTTTTCTTCTTCTTTTAAAACTTTATTTAGGATATGCATACATTTATTTGTAAATTTACCTTTCCTCAGAACAGGTAATTATCCTTTAATGAAAAAGCAAGGAAATGTGCAAACACATTGTTTTGTTGCAGGGTCATTCTTAAAAGGAACAAATTTTGGCTATGGCCAGAGCATTCTTATTTCAAGGCCTCTGACAACTTCATAGATTTAAGTGAAACAGGACCCATGACAGGAAGTGCTTTTGGTCTCCTGTGTCTGTTTGTTAACCTTCAAGGAGATGCTGTCAGAATAGCCAGGTCAGGAATACTTATCCCTACTGAACAAGAAAAACAAGAATCATGCTATTCATGAAATAGCACTAGTAAAACTTCCACAGGAGAGGAAAAGGCATGATGACACTTGTCACTCTCTCTGACATTCAGTTTACTTTTCTAAAAACTAAGAAGTTGGACTGATGAATCACTTCTGATGACCAGTACAGTGTTATTTTAAGCTGATCCCCCCCCAACATGTATTTTAGTAATGTGGATTTTACCAGACAGCAAACTCAACATGCCTCTTTCCGACTTTTGCAGTCCCTTCCTTTCTGTACTTCTAGAGGAAATACCCATGGCCCAGATCTGTGGGATTTTCCCAGGTCTCTTAGGGAAATCTTAATGTCTTCTCCCCAGAACCTCAAAACTTACATCACAAAATATCATGATTTAATGCCCATCTCCACCCAGCTACTGTGTCTGCAATTTGATATGATTCAAAATCTATTGGTGATTCATTGGTGTGGTTGCAGCATTTAGAGAAATGCCTGGTACTTTTTAACTCATTGAAAAACAATGCATTCTTAGAAAAGCCTAGCTCCCAAGTAAAACATGTTATCTAAGCCATATCTTTGCACAGTCATATTTAGTTTAAAAGATGCTGAGAAGTCTGGCAAACATAGTTCACAACCAAGAATATGACTCATGACCCCACATGTTAGTGAGAAGTCTGTTGTTGGAGATTTATTTAGACTATTTTTAACAATAGTTTTAGGATGCTTGGTATCAGGAACACAAGGCTCCAGGTCCTGAGGCAATGGAGGAGCATGAGAAATGTCTGGTTTCTGAAGATGAGAACAGAACTGTTTCTGAGAAGCAGAGTGAGTGTTTTTATTGCTGCCCTTTGATGGAATTGGCTAAGGATATCTGAAAGTCAAAATCGGGAACAAGAACTCAGATTTATTAAAGTCACTTTGGAATCAAGGTGGCCCAGATTCGTGATGAGGAGACACTTTATAAAAATTAAATTACAGGTGTGGGGGCTCACATTCATAATTTCAAGAAGTATGAAGCTGAGGCATGTGGTGATAGAATAGATTCTCTGATTGTCAGCTGGAAGCTTGAACCCCAGTGTCTCTCTTTGGGCATTTATTTGTCATGTTACAGAGGCAGGAAGATCTGAAGTTCAGGTCAGTCTTGTCTACATCACAAGATCCTGTCTGGAAACAACAACAACTAATACTTCATTTTAATATTTAACATAATAAGGAGGATGAACCTCTTGTTAAAAAAAGGAAGCAGAGAGGGAGGTATTTGACTTTCCCCCTTTTTATTTGGTAAGAATGAGCCAGAGAGCCATTGACAAAGCAGGTGAGAGTGGGGCACTCACACCATAGGTAATGGGGGGTTCAATACTAGCCCTTCTACTAACCGGAAGTAAGGCTTTCAACAAGATATTTTATCTCTGAGGATAGGAGTTGTGGATGATTTTTAAAATTTTCCATGGCTTTCCTTAGATGGGAAGCAAATAAAACTTTTTTTTCACCCCAAAGTTATTGTTCTCCAACAATGTGGGAAATCCCGAGGTGAATGCAAAACAGAATAGCTATAGAGTCTGTCTTTGAAGACTTCACAGTTATGTTAGGAACACAGGCAATGAATTGAGTCTTCCAAGTTCACACTTCCCTGCTCAACAAACCAAGATTGCTTACTGCTTGTATTCCTCAGTTTTACATACTTTGTTTCTTTCACACAAACTCCTAAGTTTGGGCTTTGTATTGAGTGAGGAATTGAAACTATAGGTGCTAATTAGCCTAGGAAATTCCTTCCTTATTTCTCTCAATGTTTAGTCTTCTCATTCTGAGCAATGAATACTAGTTGACTGACTAATGCATGAGTGTATTGTTAGCTACTGGTTATGCATCATGAATAAAAGGTCATTGGCTGATAGCACATGGCCTTTGAGTCTCTACTTTAGATGTTACAGTCTGCTGTTGTTAGAAAAGTTCCTTTTCCTCTAAAAGCCAGAAGTTATAAAGAAGTAGGCCTTTTAACATCTAGTAGCTATTGGCCCTGCCTCAAGGGAAAAGGGAATGTGGGCAAGTGGAGGATTTTAGATAAAGATTGTGTGATTCTGGACTGACTTCAGCATTTTCCCAGGTTTGTGGACATTGCATTAAAGTAAGACCTCCACACAGGTTTGTACATTTTTCTCCATCCTTTATCCATTGTCAGGCTATGTGTGAGCTTCTAGGCAAAGCAGGACACTGGTAGAGTTACAGTTTTGTCTATGAACCAATGTATACTGAGAGGAATATGATAGTTGAGGGAGACCATGGAGGATGGCGATAATTGATCAAGGAGGGGAAGGTGAGAAATGGGGAGAGGAGGGCAAGTGGGGGAGATAGTCAGAACACACTAGAAAATCTAAGTTCCTGGGGCTAATGCACTGAAGTTCTATTGACACCTGAGGCTGGTTTGCTCTTCACCTGGGATGCTAAGCACATCCCCTTCATGCCTATGCTGTTTCCAGTGGGGTTTCTGTTGCATAGGACCGTATTATGCTGATTCGGGTAGATGATAAAAAGAAAACCAAGAGGTTGTGAGCTAATGGGAAGCCTTCTAGTCTCTAAAAGAGAGACTCTCAGGTCTCACAGTTTGTCACAGTTACTATTAAAGCATATCTGATTTTCTAAATACTGCCTATGTCCAAGTCCGGAGATTGTGATTCAGTTTCTAGGGAACATGGTTTTATTTTCAAAACTTCAGCTGAGTTGAGAAGAGCAAAGTAAAACCCCCAACTAAAAGTATTAACCTCTTTCAAATGATTTAGAAGCTCTGAACTAAATGACCAGTGAACATCTAGATTATCACTGCATGCTACTGGGGAGGGGTGGAGAGAAGGACGATATGTTCACTTTTTCCCAGGGCAACTTTTCTAGCTCCAGTGCCTATCCTCTTTGCAGAGTATAAGGAGCGAGACATACAGACTGTGGGCTCATCCACCCTGGCACGTGTTGATGCTGGTGCACAGGCCACCATGAACAAACTGAAGCATGGCTGCCCCCTTGGAGGGCAGTGGGACTTTTATTTGTGTTGTTGTTTAAGGTTTATTATAGTGGGTATATTGGCTTTTGGTTTATGGTTCAATAGTTTTATTCTTTATAGTAGATAAACATTTTCTTGCAAATTAAGGCTTCTGAAACAATAAGTGTATAAAGTATGACACTCTTAATAGGCGTTTAAAGCCTGACAGTAGACTGTACTGAATAGAACTTTGTTCCATGTGTCAAAGTCACTCAGTCCTTTTTCCCACTTCCTAGGTCTGATATTCAGAGTCGGTTCCTCACCTGCTTTATGTGTTGGATCTGCAGTGAAAAAACTGGGGAATTTTGTGTTGAAGTTCTAAGGTCCACTACAATTCCTGAACTCTGAAACTTCAATGACATTTCTTTTTGACCCCCCCAAAAATATTTTTCAGATGGGTAAAATTTCTTCAAATTTTTATTAAGAATTTTTATTAAGAGAAATTCTATGAAGAATTATTTAATTGTGAGAACCGAACAACAAAAAAAGATGAAGCAAAATGGTGAGAACACTGGGGCTCGTCAGCTGTTCTGCTGGCTGAATTTGCTGGGAAAGCTTGAGTGAGGCACTGATGCCTGACCCAGCGTTTTCAGGGTGAGCCTTCTTCAAACAAAGCATGTTCCAGCAGCAAGTGCATGCTTGGCTGGCGGTAGGGAATGAAGGTGGAAGCAGACAGAATATGGGAATAGGAAAGTGAAGATTATATCTGAGGGAGAAAATGTGAAAAAAAAACAATTTTTGTAAGCCCAATACTAGAAATACACCAGAAAAGAAAACTGCAAAGGAATTGCCCTCTCAAAATGAATAATATCTTATTGTATACCTCCTATGTTTAACTATTGGGCCTATCTGTCTAACACTAGAGAAATGTCTAAAAAACAAACATTATTCATCAGTAATTTCAACAAAGAATAATGAAACAGAAAAATAAGGTGTTTGGGGAGCAAAAATACTGCAGGATTTTGGGGTTAATTTTATTCCTAAGATTGATGCATGAACCATTGTCTAAAGGTGACTGGATGAAGCTGAGTGTTCATATAGAACATGAGAAATAGTTTCTTATAAAAAATAACGAACTACTTTTGTGTCTGCTTCTAATCTGAAGCATAGGACTTTAGAACACACAGTGTCACTGCATGAGTTTACTAGTAAAGCACATGGAAACTTGCTAAAGGAACTTACTCTTTCTTGTGTGTGCCTTATTGTCTTAAACTAATTTGATCTAAGTAGCAATGATTCTCTTTCAATTTCTTCACATGTAAGTTATTATCAGTGTGACAGAAATTCTAGAATTTGGGGGAGGGGTGGCAATTTTTGGTCAGCATGAATAAAATTTATCACTAAACCTATAACTGTAGAGAAGTCAAGTCAGAAAAATATAGTATAGGCTCTCATTATCAGGTAGGCTTATTTTTATGTCACATAAAAGTAATTTATATATAGCCCAGCTCCTATTTAGACTTAAGAGCTTAGTAAATGATTATCTTAGATAGGATAACATTGCAATCATGATATTGTTATTAGTGCATGAAAACAACAACCACAAAACAAACCACAATGGTGGGTTTCAGAGTCCCAATTAGGGTAACTGCCATCCTAGATGAATTGCATAAGCTGAGTGTGTATGTTCAATGTTAGCATTTATAACACTTTCAGCAAGCTAAAGACATTTTTCGCATTTGAGGACTTGGAAAGCAACTCAGAATCTCAACTTTGGAATGGGCTTGCCTTTCTTATTTCCTGCTTCCTCCTCGTATACTCTGTATTCTCCAGTACTGTGGGTTATCACCACAAGCAGTCTGAAGACAGCACTGGATACAGTTCACACAAGGTCTCGGGAAGAAGATGGGACTCACATCTTCAAGCATATGGAGTGCTGAAATTTGGGGGAACAAACCAAAATGTTAATCTGAAGTCTTATTTAGGAAACAAAACTTGTGTGACTAGAAATAGACCATGTCCTAAATATATTCTGGTGTGTGTGCATTCTGGTGCATAACAAATGTCACTGAGTAAGGCTTTAGGGGTCAGCCCAGCACAGCATGTTTTTCCAGAGAATGTGTCTTCCATTCCTGGAAATTATTAGACTTCTCATATTTGAGAACTTCAAATCTTTTCTACCTGAGTCACAAAATTTATATTTTCAGTTCTTTGAAGAAATGGGTATTCAGTTTAAGGTAATCCTCCATATTTATTTATGATTGATAAATAAAAAAATGTATATGGGAGCTGGAGAGATGGCTTGGCAGTTTAGATTGATAGAGGACTCAGGTTTGGTTCTAAACATCCACCCGGTACCTCTTTTTAGCCCATATTCCTGACTATGGTTGCTTTTATGTTTTAAATTGTTTTCTTATAAATTCATTCAGGGCTGGAAAGATAGATCAGTGATTAACAGCACTTTGTGCTCTTGCAGAGGACCTGGGTTCTGTTCCTAGTGCCCTTATAGCAGCTCACAGCCATCTGTAACTGCAATTCTATGTAACTTTACGCCCTCTTGTGGCATGTGAAGAGAGGATATGCATGGGTGCACATGTATAGAATACAAGCTCTCATATATGTAAGATAAAATAAATAATTTTAAAACACTGTGTATTTGATGCCACACAATGATGTTACATCTGTGTAACCTTTTCAACACCCATGCTATTTAACATGTCCATTGCATTTATGACGATGCTCCAGGTATTTAATTTAATAATATTTAAGGATGTCCATAATAAATTTCAAGCATATATAGTTCACTAGTATTAAATATTGCTAATAAGCTATATATTACACTTTGTAGAAATTA